TGAATTCACTGAGAAGAAAATTAATGATTCATAGCACCAATAAGTGGCCCGAAATAGCACTCGCAGATTTAATTAAACAAAATTAGAAAATTCTAGTGAAACCTATAGAAAGAGAGATGAGTTTTGTACGTGGCGCGTTATTCACACGAAAGCGGCCGGGAAAAACACTCATATTTCTCATTCAAAAAGCTTATAAATACAGTTAAGTCCTTGCTTGTAACTGTACTACAAATTAGAGGCAGTCCTATTGGAAACTACTCTGATTGGTCAAGGAGTTTTGGTGGATGGATTTCTGGAACGTGTGAGATTGTGTCTTGAATTTGCTACCCCTGAAAATGTGGACCTTTGGTGATTTGCGACAGGTGAAGAAACTGTTGCACACACTCCCTTCATGTGTACGGGCCTGTTAAAGTGGCATTTATCAACCTGCAGAGGACTCTTTTGATCTGAAAGTGTCAAGGAATACAAAACAACCGGAAAATGGTGAAGTCAAAAATATCGTCCGAAAAAAGTATGAGCTCATGGGTTTTTTTTTTTTTACCAAAATTGGCCAATTTTTAAACTGGTCGTTTTCCCAGATTCGGCCCAATGGGCCTAATTGAGTATCATCGTATTTATCATTATTTAAGCTTAAAAATAGGCTTTACGTGGCATTTATCAACTTACAGAGGACTTTTGTGATAGTTTAACTGAAATCTAAGTGCAAAAAGAATTTTGAATCAAGCAAAATAACCCGTCTTTGGTTGTTAGTTTTTGTGTTTTCATGGCGGTGTGGAAAGGAACTGGCCTCCCTACAACCAGTGGCGGCGCCAGCGGGGGTGGGCGGCAGGGGCTTAAACCCCCACAGGACAGGTCAAGCCCCGCTTCTGACAAAGCTTGTCGGGCAGTCGGACTAAAATAAATATAAAAATAGGCCAAGCCAACACGTCTGTCACAGTCGGAGAGTGTCATTTCTGGCCATCCAGAGGTTACTATTCTTTAAAAAGTTTCATTTGGGAGGGGAACACCATTTGAAACTATTTCCCCAGTCTTGGGCTTATGAGCTCAAGTCCCCCTGTCGGACAGCTCAGCCTACCCCCAACCCCCAAAATATCTTAGAGCCGCCACTGCTTACAACGCAATACCATTGCTACGATGGGTTAACAGCTCATTCCCCTACCTTACTCTTCTTTCTGTATTGTGGGTGGTCATAGTCTTCTAAAGGTATATTTAGACAATCACTGTAAATTTCTGTCTCCAAGTAGCAGCGGGTCAGGTAGGGCAAAAGATCACTCCTATATTCTCTTGACGCAAACTCACATCTTAATAGCACTTGCAGTACCCACTGCTACTTGGGGATCTTATTCACCATTAGCCAAGCGCAAGCTTGGAGATCCGGAGGTCGTGGATTCGATTCCCACCCGAATCACTTGCAAATTTGTTTTGCTAGTAATTGGGGACGTAGGCCTACTGAGTATTCGATAAATTTAGGGCAAAACATCACTCCTATGATATTTTCCTGACACAAACCACACATCACACCTTCGTAGCACTTGCAGTACCCGCTGCTACTTGGGGATCGGATTCATCACTAGCCATTAAACGCAAGCTTGGTGGTCTAGTGGTTAAGACATCAGGCTAGTTACCTGGAGATCGTGAGTTCGATTCCCATATGATCACTTGCAGGCCCGTAGCCAGGTTCTTCCAAGGGGGGTTTTCTGGGCGTGAGGTCCACGGTCGAAGCCCCAACGGAGTCGGCGAAACCCCCAAAGCAAGGGGATTTTTGTGATATGGGTCTAAATAATGCTATAAAAGCAGATATGTTTGAAAAGGTCTTTGTCTGGTTGGGTCTGCAGTGCATTATTTGGGTTGGAGGACTTATTTGGGAAATTTGAAGAGGGGGATTCGCCAGAAAAGAGGGGGGGGGGTTTGCTAGAAAAGGGGGTTCTCCCGAACCATAAAATCCCCCCTGGATACGGGCCTGCCATCTACCTGTAATACTTTTGGAAAGTTCAAAGGCGTTTTTTCGTAAATGTCCTCGAAAGCTTTAGCAACTGTTTTCCGCATCTCTAAATTGGAGTTCCTTGGCAGCTTTGTACCTAGAACTTACATCGATAACCGTTAATGCATATTTATAGGAGTTTTCATCGATAGTTTTTCTCTCTCTCAAGTCCTTATCGTTTGGTAAATATAATATATAAGCCTGATGAATCTCGTTTGTAGTTAAAGTCTCAAATCCGCCAGCTCTAGGCCTAGGTTTGTAGTCAGGTCTGGGGATGTATATCTGCCAAAATACTTGTTAAGAAAAGAAAATCCTTGGCTTCCTTCTCGTTAACTTTAGCTTCTTGAGCAAGCCTATCTATTGCTACTTTACCCTTCCATTTGTTCTGAGGTTTCTAATATATTTTTTCTCAACCGATTCATTTTCTCTTTTTATTTTCGAAATAAATAATTATTCCACCCGTGACCAAAGTTAGCCCTCCTAAAACAAAGTAAATTTCGTTATCCTTTTGTTCGGGTGATTTCTAGTAAAAATCGCTAAATTTATGTTCCGGGGGTAAATTTAAATTTTGTAGCGCGTAATCCATTTCCTCGAAAGTATACTCGGCATTTCTCTGCCTCCCGTCTTTATCGGTAATAAAATCCATTTTCGCTTGCCTAATATTGTTCCTTGACTTTGTTGTATTCTTCGAGAACTTTATCTTGACGAGCTCTCTCACTATCTCCCCCTTCAAGTCGTCTTCCAAGTATATTTGTGCCTGTGAAGGCAACGGAATTAAGTATAGCCCCCTCTGAGCATTATTGCAGCAGCAGCCATTTTTATTTCATTGAGAATAAAAATGTATTTAGGTCATATTGTTATCGGGGAGCCAACCTTGCTTGAATACGCAATCCGCAGTATGGTCGGATGCTACCAAGGTTACAGCCAATTTACCAATATTCATTGGAGTTAGTGAGTTAAAGTTTGGGGAAGCAATCTTTCGAACAACCTTGTGAATCAGAAACCGCTTTAAGACTGCTTTGGTATAGCGAATTTACCAACATTGTTACATC